GATTTGTGAGTGAATCGTTTGAGTTGGTTCGTTTCAATGAATTGGAGAAACCCATTGATAAAACTAGTCTGAATGATTCATTCACGAATAGAACTGATTTTTCTCGAGTTCAGTGATCCTGTCTCTGTTTGTGTGTGCTGGTGTGTGAAACTTATAATTCACTCTGAGTATAATAATAATAATAATAATAATAATAATAATAATAATAATAATAATACATTAAGGAAGTAAAAGAACAAGAAAACCAAATTGGACAGAAGAGCAGTGTTTGGAGAATATTTCTTCTTTCCGCCATTTTGTCCTCTGCTATAGAAACTCTTAAGCCTCTTAAAAGTCCTCCTCTCTACTCTTAACAATTTTTTACCTTAGGAGCTGTTTTTAGGGCTAAGATGTTTCATGAATCATTTTTATCTTTACTAAGATTTAGTCCTAAATTTAAGGGGAAATTCTAAGAAAAAGGCATAATCCTAAGAATTTTGCCATTAGGAAGCTTTGTGTATACAGGCCCTGAAGTCTAGATTGGCACAGTACGAGTATCATTTGGAAGGAGTTAGCAGTTCCGAAGTTTGTCCTCTGGATAAGAGAAGGCTAATCCTCACAGCCTTTGGAAGCCTTGAGCAGTTTTTCTACCAAGATTTGGCTTTTCCAGCCATGAAAGCAAACACAGTAAGTATGACACCCGAACAGGGACTTGAACCCTGGACCCTCAGATTAAAAGTCTGATGCTCTACGCACGCACGTTCAACAGTTCCAATAAAATTTGTCCTCTGCACTGGATCAGAGAGGGCTAATCCCATCTGGATCTTGTGGCTTTCTACAATTTATTAATATAGCTTTCTTACAACATGAACACCAGGGTGTTTGTCCCCTATTTTATGTTCAACAGCACTATTCAAGGATACAAACCAACAAGGTGTAATCTTGGCTCTGTAACTCACAAGAAAGCAGCTTTATACCTCCACTGACTGCCCAGAGTCTTACACATATAAAGACAAAAAGTACTCAAGTAACTTGCAAACTGGTTAAAGTTAACCAAGAGAAGGTTGAACCTTGGTCCTATCTAATAAGCTGTCCAGTCTCTAAATTGAACCACAAAATTTTCTGTTTAACTACCGTGTTTGTATCTTCTTTTAGAACAAGAAGACTTTTGACCAATGTTACCAGCATAAGTCTTCTTCATAACAGTAGCTCTAAAGTCTTGACTCTAAAATCTTGCTTCAAGTAATGCCTTGCTTGTCATGGTATGGGAATCATTTGAAAAGCATCAGCATTTTCAACCAAGCTTGGCTTTTCTGCACAAGGAGACCAAATGACGAACAATCACATCTATTCCACCCACAAACAGGGACTTAAACCATGGATCCTCAGATTAAAAGTCTCAGCTGATATGTTGTTTTTTTTTTTTTTACAGTCAAAACAGTTCAGGCCTATGGACACAAATTTTCAACAGTTTCCTCTGATTAAATGGATCCTCTGCTCTGGATCAGAGAAGGCTAATCCCATCCGGTCCTTGTAGCATTCAACAATTTATTAATATACCTTTCTTAGAAAATGGACACAAGGGACTTTTTGGTAATGCACTACTTTATATCCAAGTGCAGTATTGAAGGATGCAAACTGCCGTGTATAACTCACAAAAAGCAGATCTGTACCGCCTTTCCCACTGATTGCTCATTATCTGACACATACACTATATTACCAAAAGTATTCGGTCACCTGCCTTGACTCACATATGAACTTAAGTGCCATCCCATTCCTAACCCATAGGGTTCAATATGATGTTGGTCCACCTTTTGCAGCTATTACAGCTTCAACTCTTCTGGGAAGGCTGTCCACAAGGTTGAGGAGTGTGTTTATAGGAATGTTTGACCATTCTTCCAAAAGCGCATTGGTGAGGTCACACACTGATGTTGGACGAGAAGGCCTAGCTCTCAGTCTCCGCTCTAATTCATCCCAAAGGTGTTCTATCGGGTTCAGGTCAGGACTCTGTGCAGGCCAGTCAAGTTCATCCACACCAGACTCTGTCATCCATGTCTTTATGGACCTTGCTTTGTGCACTGGTGCACAGTCATGTTGGAAGAGGAAGGGGCCCGCTCCAAACTGTTCCCACAAGG